AGGCACACAGTGTTATGTATTGGAGTTGCGGGGGGGGGAAGAGAGAGACAGCGGGAGAGAGAGAGGGCGAGAAGGCCAGTTAGCAAGGCATTTTCCAGGCACAGGCCGTGGTGGCTTCTTCCCAGAGTAACAGCTCCTTGACTGTTAGTGCACAGAGGCCGGAGAGGCATGAACAAGGAGCGGAAATGCACCCCTCAATGTCCATAGGCAGGCCCGGCATCTGAATGAGATGGAGGAGGGTCTGTTGCCAGACTCTCTCAGTAAAGCTGGATGTTTTGAATCAGGTGGGGGAGTCTGACCTCCAGGCACAGACTGCATAGCAATCAATGATCCCAGAAACCCAGAAATTTCTGCATTTTGGAGGGTTCTCCTGAGCACAAGAACTAACTCCACTATCACCTAAAGAATCTCACATGTACTGAAAAACAAAGCATTTAAGGCATTAAAAAAATTAGAAGGGACAGAGGCAGAAAGAAAGAGGAGCAAATAGTGACTTAATACTTTGTGATGTTTCCTTAAGCCCAGGCAGATCTGTGTGGAATTCACCACAAGAGGAGCTACAGGGGAGAGGGACTCTTTCTTAACAGGGGACATTAATTTACCTGGAAGCTTCAGTTTCCTACAGCATGAGTTGCAGTGATGCTTTGCTCTGAAGTTTTTGATGGCATCCTCTCCTAGGTTTGCAGGACCAAACACCATATCGCTTGACCTTTAAAATAAAATGCACTTTCAAACTTCGGCAATCAAACAAGTAATAATTTCTTGTTTGAACTTTATATCCTGCAAGATACAGGAGAGTTTCTTCCTCTGTTTATGTCTGATACCGTGTTTCCGTGGTAATGTTTGCTGCTTCAAAAGGCTACTAGTCCTCAAGGACAAGTCACTAATCCTCGGGGTAAGGGTGGTAAACCAATAGAATCAGAAAAATTGTACATCTTCTGATTAACCAGCTGGGCTACAACTGAAGTGAACACCACCCTCAGTGGTGTAGTTCATTCTTTTCTGTATCAAATAAAATAAAAACCACATTACTTACCTTTTTTCTTCAGCTTTGATCACTGAGGGGTCTGTCAAATTTTCCCCAACACCTAAATGGAAAATGGAGAAAGTCTGATATATGATATATGAAGCCAGAGTTCTCTCTCTCTCTCTTTTCTGGCTAAGACTATAAGGTGGTAACACCCCCAAGTTAATGGTCATCAACAGATATGTGAAGCCAGAGTTCTCTCTCTCTCTTTTCTGGCTAAGACTATATCTTGTCTTTCCATCATGTCCTCTGACAAAGGTTGTGTTTTCTAGCGAAGGCACTTCTTTGTGTGTAAGTTTAAAGTTTGTACAATAAACACGCACACTGCTCTGTGTCACACAGAGAGAACGTGTTGCCCTCTAGATTTTGGCAGATGGCAGCTGCTATCGACTCCAACCAACATGGCCGAGGGAACCACCGGAAGAGCAATCAGACGAGAACAGCACCAGGGAGTCCCCACACCAGAGCGAAGGCCTCCCACTCACCTTGCAAATCAAGGACCAGGAGTTCTCCTCGAGTGTATTCATATGTCCAGTGGCTGAAGGCTAACATGACCTCTTCCAGCATGTTGGTCGGAATTATTTCATCCCCATTATTGTTGTTGTATTTTCTAAACTCGCCAGTCATGCACTCCTCCACTGCAAACCACTGCCCAGCAGAATGGCAATATAAGAGGAAGACTTCCAAGAACCTCAAGAGAGAGAACAAAGGAAGAGAAGATCGACTGATCCCTTAAAAGAGCCTTGTTCGTTACACGCACAAACTACTCTTTGTCCCATTATTTCAGTTTTCTTAAAAATGGTCAGAAAACGTTAACTACTTCTTTGTGATTATTCCTCACATGCACTGGGGGAGGCACACACACAACCCACACTCTTGTCAGTTTCTGCTTATAGAAGCTCATTCTTCAGGCCCAACGTATGGAATGTTTTTAAATGCCTACCTTGGAGAGTAGGGGATTGATTTGGGCTTCATCTGATTGAATGCAAACGTGAGCTTCTGGGCCGCTCTCTGCTGCTGAATTTCCTATGAGAGAAGGAAGAAAATGAAGGTAAAAACTTGAGGAGGAGGAGAAGGCCAATAAACGTATTGGACTCCTTATAGGGCTAACCTTTTTTGTTCTTCTCTATTCATATCCACGGCAAAAGATTAAGACGATAAGAGAACAGATTCTCTATAGGCCAGACATTGTTACTATTGGCATTATCAGTAATTATTCTATGATAACCTTGACAGCAGGGGGTCGTCACGGTTCCTGTTTAGAAAAGGAGTGGCATCCACCACAATCAGTTGGACACACCGCTCCCTTCTCTCTCCTCTACAGAAAAAAGTTTCCAGGTGCCAATGTGAATTGAGCAGTTGAAACTAGACGTCAATACAAAAGAGGAGTTAAAATAAACGACGCTCTTCATTAATGGGGGTCTAGATTAAATTAAGTGTGTTCCTGATATAAACATCGTGCAGCGTTCCATCCATGTGACTGAAGCCGATGTTTTACATCAAAATGCTCCACTTTTGGTTTTACATTATCTTTATACAATTGGATGCACTTTCACTGTAGGTTTTTTGTTTGTTTGCCCAGAAGATTAAACACAGGTGCTAAGTATCACAGGCTGATCGAATTACTACAGTTAAAAAACAGGAATTAAAAAAAAACACCAGATATATGCTGTACTGCTGTGGTGGTGCTTTTAAGCAACTCGCGCCTATGCAGGGTTGACACAATCATCCCTCTGTACTAGCGATCATGCAACTTACTCTCAGACACAGGTGTAAGACGGTGTCTTCCTTGTAAATGCTTGACCAAGTATTGACCACTTCAGGGAGAAAGGATTTGATGATATAAAGGTGGCCCGATTTCAGGATGTCATGCTCCGACCAGGTGCAGACCACTTTGAGCGCTCGCCGCAGGCCTCCCCCCATCTCCTCCTTACTTAAGAATTCAATTTTGGCAGAGAGACCCAGCTGAGACCAGGAAGACATGCTGTTGTTCAACATGCCTGGAGAACTTTCTTCAAGACGATATACAGTGACTGGTTCACCTGCAAAAATAAGGTAGGAAGCGGAGGTAAGCCTAGGGCTATGTTCACGCTCTCTTGGGAAGGAAGGGGCGCCAGTGTCTTCCTCCTACATGTACAATCATCCACCGAAGTCCCCCTGCAGGCACACAGGCGTCCTGGGAAAATCCTTGCCTAGCTCTGTTGCCATATCATCTATAACAGCAGATGTGCTATAAAACTATCCCAACTTTTCACCAGAAGAAGCGGGCAGGATTCTGCTCTACTTTATTGTGTGTCACCCTCAAATACAATAAAGAGCAATACAGATTTTTAAAAATAAATGAATAGGCTTACCTCTTGGAGGCACAGGTGTGAATGGTATACTTTGAGACAACCTCATCAAATTATTCCTTTCAACAGCTGTAGAGAAAAGACATTTTTAAAAGAAAAACCTGCAGAATACAATTCTTCCACTTTTCATTATTTCTCACAACTTCAGAATACTAACCTGAGTAATAGTAGGTGGTATCCATGATGGGCTTAAAAGGAGAAGCGATACCTTTAAAAAAAAGATTAAGACTCTGTTACTGTTTATTATATGAATACTATTATTATATAAATACTAAGTATTATAGTATTTATATAATAGGCCTATATTTCACAGACAAGAGCCATGTTTAAATCCATCAAATGTGTACTATTTTTAAGAAATACGAGGACAATGAAGAAAGAAACTCTTACGTTCACCTTGCTGCCTATTAACTGGTTGATTCCACAACTGACAAATTTTATTCTTTGAAAATATGTACCATGGATGAGAAAAGGATCTTCAGTGTAATGCTCCAAACCGTGCAAGGCAGCTTAAGCAACAGTAAAATGACATGAATCTGACTTGGCTTGCCCCAGTGAAGCATAACAATGACTGCAAGCATAACAGGAGTCTGGACTCTGAGGTTCCAGAATGCAAAGCAAAACGGCCTTCAGTAGAATTTTTTTAAAATAAGTACACATCAGATATTCTTTCATCACATGGGACATTTACAAAAATATCAGACTTGCTAGTAAGGTAAGATTTTACGCCTGCTTACCATTCAATGCATCTTCCTCAGAAGACCTGCAAGAGGCAGAAATCCCATTACGATTTAGAACCTAAGAGGAGCCCTGTGCTGGATCAGGCCAAGGGCCCCTCTGGTCCATCTTCCTGTCTCTCACCGTGGCCCTACCAGATGCCATAAGATCCCTGTCTCCTGATACCCCTCCCCTCCCCTCCCTCTCTCTCTCTCTTAACATGAAGAACATAAAATGTGCTTTGGTAGCTCAGGAGGCCTCTTCTGGTCCAACATTTAGATTCCACAGTCAGACACCATCTTGGGGAAGCCCACAAGCCCAAAGGCCTCTTCCGGTCCAACATTTAGATTCCACAATCAGACACCATCTTGGGGAAGCCCACAAGCCAGAGGGGAATGCAACGACCCCCACCTGTTTCTGCTCGCTAGAAAGAGGTACTGGTCTCTGGCCCACCGCCTCTGAGGCCAACATTAATACACACACACCCTGGCTTTTTCTTCCCTCTGATTCTAATATGTGCATATAAATATACCTTGGTCTTCAAAAAGGCAGAGCAAACATCTTCATGTCAATAACACACATTGAACAAAACCAATACTCTGTAGGATTTCATGGCCAATCGGTCAGAGCATCTCTCTTACAGACATGCAGCTCCTCTACGTTAGCAGGGCCAGAGTCTGTTCACGGTTGGTATGTGTGTCTAAACCCTTTCCACCTTCGCAAGCTTGGCTTCTCACAATCAAGTGCCAACATAGCTGCCATTTTGCCCAGCTAAACCTGGCCGCTGAAAGGCCCCCCTGCGCGGACCAGCCATTTGCACTCCGATTCTAACAGATCCCCAGCAGCAAACTGAATGCTAAGTGCTGGTCTGCATATAGCATTAAAAGCAGGCCATGTACACACACGAGGGAGATACAGCAGCTCAGGGCAGCTACATACATACTAAGGGCTGCTTAGAAACTTGGGGGAAGGGGGTACGCCATCCCCCCTATCTGAAGAAGCAACCCCCTGCCCCAATCTTGAGCCTCCTATGATACATACAGGACAAGTGTATTATGTGAACAGAACAATTAGAGAGTGATTGATGTTGTAGCCAAAAACATAATAAAAAGTTCGAGGAAGAGACTGAGAGTTTCAAGACTAGCAGCTTTACTTACATTTGATTGCTATAGGAGGGTAACCAATCCTGCAAAGAGAAGAGGAGGGAAAAATCAGTACAGAGCCTAGTTCTTGAACAGAAGGGTTGAATTACAATGGCTGCTGAATTTTGTTCCAAACTGCTTACTTTCAGATGTCACAATAAACACTACAAGCCTATAGCTCCTGAGCTGTGTTGGTTTTTTTTTTAAACATTTAGCAGAAAAGCTAGAGCAATCAATATGATGTTTTACTTACTGTGAGCAAGGCTGCCTTGGAATCCACTGCATGAGAGTCTTCAACTGAAGTTCTCCTACTCTTATTGTGCACTGAAAGAAGGAGTTCACAGTCTGAGTTAACAATACATTAAAGAATTTTGAGCAGATGTGTCCTCTTCCCTTTTGACTGACCGCTTATTAATCAATTTGTATTTTACCCATATGGTGATATATCTACCTTTAATGGACTGTAGCAAAAGTGAGATAAACTGACAAATTCACAAACCAGCCCAAAGGCCCAGAAACAAGAAGAGCCAGTTTGGACCTACACTGAAGAACAAAATGAGCGAAATTTTAACTACTCACCTTTCAGTATTTCATGCTGCCTGTTAGTAATAGTTTATAAAATTCATTTTAAGAATGTTAATGGTTTATGATACTTACTTTGCTCAGAGTGTGCTGTTGATGAGCTTCTGGGATCATCAGCAAAGCCACAACTTGAACTAACAGGCCTCAGGTTGCCTTCTGTATGACTACTACCCTATATATTAAACAAATCATCATAATCATAAATAGGACACAGGTGCCCTTGCTTGCAGAAATAATATGTAAATGCCAATCCCCACAATACATGATGCAAAAGAATACAAATGTCTAAATTTTTACCTGATCCTTTGCTGTTTCCATTACTTCCAAAATTGCTCTTCTGAAGCCTTCCTGTTGCTCCTGTAAAAGTTAGCAAGGAAAAAAATCATAATGCTCCCCTGAGAAAGGGTTGTCCTCACTCTCTCCACTACTATATCTTAGCTATCCTGCACACAGGTGGGTGTTTAAGGCTGTGCAAAACTGTGCCACAAAAAAAATGAGGCAAGACGGTCGGAAGAGCAGGCACCATAACCCTGGCATCTCTGGGCGCAGTGTGGGATGGCGTCTATGCTCCCTAGACGGGTCGTATCATGACGCGGCACCAGCGTTGAGGACCGGTGCCTCTGTGATCTGTGCTGCACTCCTACAAAACCAGGGCACAGGAAGCTGCTTTACACCAGGAGCAAACCATGTGGCCGCCCAGCCTGGGAATGGCTCTTCTGCCTATTAACAGCTCTCCCAGCACAAGCAAGCCAAGGCTCACAACGAAAGGTGTTAGGGACTGGACCCAGGGCCTTCCGTGTGCAAAGCGTGTGCTCTTCTGTGACGCAACGGCTGCTCACCAAGGCCTCACACTTCTGGACCCAGGGCTTCCTAATTCACCACTCAGAATCCCAGCCACATCCCTTACATGCGCTCCAGCCACAGAGTCCAACAAAGCAATGAATGCCCATCTACTTGAGAATGCTATATAAGCCAATTTCCTACAGCGGGTTAGGCTACCAATAAATGGGCCCAGAGACTTCACTTTTACCTTAATATCATCACTTTTTTCTTTATTCTTGGCCTCTGTCTCTTTAATTCGTTGCAATTCCATGCTGTCTCTGTGACCTGTGGCAGCAGCGTGCAGAAAAACAAAAAGGCCAAGTTTAGAAGAAAGAACCAAAAAGATTTATTTCTTCGCAAAATGTTCTGGGAATCCCAAAGGAGCTCAAAAGATATTTGGCATTTTTAATGGAATGTCAAAAAATTAAGAACTACTGCTTTTCCTATTCGAAGGTGTAACCCCATCGCTTCACCACCATCGTAACGACAACACAAGTAACATTGCCAAGAAGGAAATATTCCATGTTGTTAATCTGTTGCTGTCTTGCTCTCTTTCTGTTAAGATCAGCCAGCAGATGTGCCAGCATTTTGTATCTGTTCTGTATCTAAACATAGCTGCCAGTAGAAAAACCACAGTTCAATTTGATTGCATTTCCAAGTACAAACATAAGGGCCAAAACAGACATGCTTGAATCAAGCCATCTGTACAACCTTCAACCAAACATGTCCAGATCATGTGATTCAGGCTAATGCAAGCACCTACGCAAATGAACAAATGCAAGCACAGCTGGGAGTTGTCAGCAGCATCCTTCATGCGTTTCCTATAAATATGCCTACAGGACTATCATGATCCTGGACCATATAGTCCATAAGTCAGAATGAAGATTATATTACAAACAAGACAGAGTTACCAATTTGTTCCAATTAAAACAATTGCAATTATTCATCTTGCCTGTTAGAGAATTAAAATTTAAACTCTGTCGCTCAACTCCTATCAGATAGCTACAAGGGCAGGAGGAGGAGGAACTCTGAATGTTCCACAGCTAAAGGCAGCTAACTAAAGGCATGTATCAGACATTTGCTGGTGTGCATGCTCAACTCCTATCAGACAGCTACAAGGGCAGGAGGAGGAGGAGGAACTCTGAACGTTCCACAGCTAAAGGCAGCTAACTGACGGCGTGCCAGGCATGTATCAGACATTTGCTGGTGTGCAATCAGGCAGACGACCAACTTGCCATCAGCACCTCATCCATGAGCGATGACAAATTCCACTATTCCTCTTACACACATGTAAATACCTGCTAAGATCCTGACCGGTACAAAAGGATCTCTAACGTTGTGGTCAGAATTAAAGCATACATAGAAATATAGTTCACAAACATCAGTAAAGTATCATTATTCAACTCTGTACAAAGTCTGAATTAAATTTATATCTCTGTCTATCTGTGACTTTCCCTTTTGTTTTCCAATTTAAAACATGCAAAACATTGTGTTTATTGTTGATGTTCAGAAACAATAGGGGGCAAGGAAGAATCCCAATTAAACACAAAATGTGACATACATTTGCTTGTGGCGAGCCCTGTAATAGGTAGCTTAAAGGAGTAAAAAGCATGTGAACCAAGGCTAGCAAAGTTTCATTAAAAATCCACCAATATTACAGGCACTCCTTCAGAACAACCTGGAATGTCTGAAACTGTAGACAACAGACTAGCAGCAGCCGAACTGAGACCAAGTCCTGCCTGACATCCATTCTGAGACCTGCCTGAGACATCCTTGTGTTGGAAGCGGTATTTCAACAAGGCCCTCTATGCTTAATGTCCCGGTTGTGCACATCAAGCACACGTGGTGCAACCTCTCTTGCTTCTTGGGGTGAAGGGAGAAGTATCTTCCCATTTATTTTGCAAGATTTTTTAAAAAGGTCATTTGGAGCCACTGAAAGAGCAGCCAAAAAAAAAACCCTTTAAATTAGTAAACATATTATTTCAACAAAAAGGAAAACTGGTCATGTTCGCCAGAAGGGAAATGGCAAAATTCATATTCATGCAATACCTTTCTTAGGCTTGCTAAAATGACACCAAAACATCTGCAATATTTCAAGATCTCCCAACCTCTTCATTAAGCAGGATGTCACAAAATATCTCGTTAGTACATCTCTCCTTCCACTGTTCAAAAAAAAAAAAGCCTACCAAAAAAGACTCTATAGTTCTACCACTGTTTCATACATTTTGGTTTTTGTCAAAACACCACTTGAGTTCTAGCAGAACTGAACCTTTCTGCTACTAAAAGGGACTCCAAAAATGCCAAATATATTGTTTAAATTAGAATTTTGTTTTAGAAGCCATTTCTCCGAAGCCACAAAATTTGTTAAAAAGTGAGAGATGGAAGAATAAGCAGTATTCAGAATACAGTACAGTCGAATCCCTGAGCTAAAGAGGCAAGAGGCATCAAATAAATGGCCAGTTATTTATTATAGCTGCCCCAATTTACATTTATTTAAGGAGGAGGCAATATTTTTGCAGAGGCCACTGTATCCAGGGAGAAACATTTTCAAAATCATTTGTAGGAGTAGAATTTCTGTCATCACAACCAACGACCTGCAAAGTTTGTTGCTAGAATTAAACTTTCTTCAATTCTCAAAGACGATAAGTCTGAAAAATATTGCCTGCACCTTAGATTGACAGAGGACTTCCCCTTTTTACAAAGAAAAAGCCATTTGGATAGCTTGGTGAAATGAAAAGCCAAGTATACACCACAAAACCACCCAGGTCACCTGCAACCAGAATCCACCAAAGTGCACCATACGTTTTTCTTGACAAATCAAACCTTGTGATTTCTGCAGGTGTGCAATGGCGGTGCTAATGCTACATCTCTTTCGTGATGTTTCTGGAATGCTTCTAGAAACTGCTTCCATACTTAGTGTCCCATTCAAACCAACAGCTGGGTCACATCTGACCTCCTTAGTAGACAGGAACTGTGATTTGTTTTTGACATGGTCGTTCATCAGCTGGGAAGTGGAACAGGGACTCCAACTGTCCAAACAGAGCCCGCGTGGAGCATAACTTTCGTCGTGAACAAATCCATGGTTTACGTATCCTCCAGCTTCAACACAAGGTTGTGAGGCAGTAACAAAGCAAACAGAACTGGAAGCAAGAGAATCACAGCAAGGGACCAACATGTTTGGAAACAGGAGTTTCAGCTTATACTTACCCACAAATGCGCCAAACTCAACCGCGTTCTCTCCCTCAGCAGCTTTCGGGACAGCCACCTCCTCGTTGGTTACAATGTGTTCTAACTGTTTTTTACAGCTTGGCTGAGAAGGTGTGCTGATGGAAAATTTAGCTGTTGGAGATGTTAGATGGGGCATACTGTTTAAAGAATTGCCCGTCTTTTTATTTTTATTACTATGTCTTGACACGTCCGTACCCTGTATTCTCTGGCGAAGTTCGGGAGGAGAAAGAGTTCTTGGGACTAAGGCACTGCCCGAGGAACCTGCCCCTGGAAAGCTGAATTCATCCCCTTTGGGGAGACCAATAAACTTGTGTCCAGAATCTCTTTCGCCTTGCATAGAAATGTTGCAGAGGACTGCATTATTACTGTCGAGGGCTCCTTGAGGAAAGGAAGATCCAAACACGTTGCCAATACTGTGCTTCCTCCACATGGAAGATCTCAAGGGACCATCGTCGATGAGGTTCTGGGCCAGATGCTTCGAAATGCTCAGTTCCCGTGTTATCTCGTTATGGACTTTGCTCGCTTCCGAAGCCTTCTGCGCAGTTAATGTTTTCAGAGTGTCCACCGTCAGAGCAGAGAGGTCCTGCAAGTGTCCTATTTGTATATCCAGAGAGTGCAAAGAACGCTTGATGTAGTTGACTCGGTCGCCAACCTCTTTGATCTGGATGCACATTTGCTCAACGCTGAATGGAAGGGCGGGGAGACAAACAAACAAAAGGAACAATTAGGTGGAAAATTAAATACGTTTCCACAGTACACTTGAAACTCACATACTATGTGTTGGCATTAGAAAGAATAATATGTAGAAACCAATAGAAGAACATTTCAGCCTCCAGGGATGTTCTCTCTCTAAGCTGCTTATTTTGTTTTCTTCCTCTACTTTATACACCCATGTATGCAAGAGAGATGTGTCAAGGGATGTAAATACTGCCCCCTTTTAAAGCTGCAATCCAAGTTTAAAATGGCAGCAATCTGGAACAACAATTTTGCCTTTTCCAACTAGTTGCATTATCATCCGTCAATATCCTTTACAATTCTATTAACCATACTGATACTTGCATTTATCTAAAAATAAAATAAAAATCTAATGATGGAGATATTCACTTGCTGAAAAGAAGCTGGTAGTCTTCTGACAGGCAGCTACCCTAAACATTGCTGCAAAGCTTAAAGGTTAATTCCACTAAAGATTTCTACCGTTCGGATGTTACTCTGATTCTTTCTTCACTTCCAGAATGGAACTGGTCATCCTTTTCGTTGAAATACATCTCAACACATAATTCTTCAAAATCATGGAGCTTCTTTTGATCTTCTTCCGTTAGAAAAAGTTCTAGAGAGAGAAAGAACGTGTCGTAGAAACTGGGTCGTGGTTTGTTACACAGAAGGGCAACACCATGAAAGAAGCTGTACACGTAGAATTGAACTTAAGCTTTAAAAAAGGGAACAGAATTACCGACGAACATTTAGAAATAATGTCCCACCCACCCAAACCATCAATCCCCCACACCCACACCTGTTCTCCCATTGACAAGAGTGATAAACTGGAGAGAGGCATTTGGTGACGTCTTCACAGACCATCAGTACAAGGCATTTTCACAAAAGCATGGATTACACGGCGTATTTTTATTGCTCCTTACTTGGTCCATCGGAAGTTTTGTCTTTCTTCCTTTGTTTGCATATGCAGCAGAACAGGGAAGCCATGTGACTAAGGATGATGAGAGGTGGAGGGAGGATCGGTTTCTCGTGATACGCCATAACAAAATGGTAACGCTGGTATTTCCACACAATATTGGAAATGGCTTTCACTTGTAAATATACATTACTAAGAAATAAAAGGAAAAAGTATAAGTAGTGTAATATAAGGGATATTTTAGAATGTAATAGTGGTCCTCTTTTACTCTCAGTGAGACCATACAGGAAAGTACAGGAAAGCAAATTTCATCAGGACTGCTATCCTATGGTACTAAAGTCACGAAGGTAACTTTTAAAGCACTGGTTTAATAAGTAAACTAAGATGTGAAATATATACATACTTGAAAAAGGCAATGAGGAGGTTGACCATAATAATATACTGCACAAAAAGGTAGACGGCTTGAAGAAAAGGTGTCAACCATGCTCCTGTCACGCAGAGTGATTTAACTTCAGAATTATTTGCACATACTATAATGAATAAAAAAAATAAACAGAATCAAAATACAGGTAAAGACTTGGGCAGTTTTCTTGCAGATACAAGTATCAAACAAAGCTTCTAGAAACAAAACAAAACATGCTAATTTTCCCAGGCACAAGCAGCCTCTGCAACGTAGTTAGCATAACCTGATGTCAGCATTTTGGAACAGTTAACTCGTGTGTGCACATTGGTGCATTAAATGCATAGAGCAACAATCTCAGCCATTAAGACATTTTGTTTGAGCCTTTTATTTATATTACCTTTTCAAAGATATGCCTCTTTTTAAAAGGTAACTGAATGTATGAACATACTGGACTACATACAAATAATCTCTTAGAAATGAATCCACGACCAATAAACGTGAAATTAAAATTATTTCCTAAGTAAGAGAACAAACAAGGGGGGGAGGGGAGAAATCCTACCATCAATTTCATAAGCGTAAACTTCACCAAAGATCATCCAGTAGGGTTGAAACACAATATCTCTTGCTAGCACCCAAGATGGTTCTTCGTTAGGATAAAGTATGGCCTTCCTGGGGACACCAAAACTGAGCAGAACCAGCGCCATAATCACAACAATGTAAAACATGTTGGCCACCTGTTTAAAAAAAGAAGCAGAGTCAAGGAAACTGAAATGGGAAACTTCATTCCCTTTGCATTGGCTTCCACTACAGAGTCAAGGAAACTGAAATGGTCTGTTAAAGGCAGGAAGAATACTTATTGTGATACTTCATTGGCTTTCCTCAAATCACGTAACAAGCTTTCAAAAGGTGGCCTTCAGCGCACCAGAATACAAATTGTCCACCCTTTGATCCTGCCGTTAAATGAGCCCAGTTGGGTTTTTTCCTTCCACCTGCTAGTTGGGACTTGGGCCCAATCACATTCCCAACCGGCAGCCTAGAAGGTGCTTGGTGGCACAGCGACACATCCACCACAGCCAAGCAGCTCTTTTCAGTGGGCAGTGCTTTACTAGCTCTTCCCGTTCCCCATTAATACTGAGCATATAATTGCTTCACGTCTATGAGAGTCTGTGTTATAACAGCTGGGGAACTTCATTCCCTTTGCATTGGCTTCCACTTAGGTGACTCCTACAAATTCACCAAAGTTTGGGTCCTGTACCAAAAATAGCTGCTTCTCCACAACAACATGAACACTGCCTAGAGCAAACAGATCATTCTGAAAGGGCCTGGCATGGGTAGCTTGACCTATAGCTACAGAAGGGGGTGAAACAATTCCCCTTCTTTACAATGATAGCCAGTTGTCAGAGGGAGGGAAAAAAAATCAAACAATGCACACCTTTACTTATGGAATACATGTTTAAGGCCAAAGTAACATATAACATGGTAGAAACATCTGCCTTAAAGGTAAAATAAACAATAAAAGATGCATCAGAAGTTTGTTTTAGTTTTTAAAAAAACTTACCATTTTCCCAATCATCATGACATAAGGGCCAGCATGTTGATTTACAGCCAGAAAATCCAATAACCGCACATACCAAAAGATTATGTTCAGACAGTAAGTCAGTCTTCCGGCAACAAAAACATAATTTACTTCATAAGTATTTTCACTGAATTTCCCTCTTGCTCCAAATCTTAGTATAAAACCAATGAAGAACGTGATAATGGCTATTGTATCGCTGACGTTGAAGTAATCATTGAACCACACTTTAATCTTCTGACTAATCTTGCCAGCCTCTGACATAAAGATCTGTATAAAAAATAAGAAATTGGGCATAGTTAGCTTTGCCCTCGGCCAAGGCTACTGAAGGCCAGACCACGTAGCTGTTATGCGTAAGTATGTTCACCGAAGTTCACTCCTGCTCCAAATCTTACTACAAAATGAACAGCAGGAGAGAAAGCACAAGCATCATCTACAGTCCTCCCTGGCCAGAAAGAGCACCTAAACGGTCTCTTGGCAAGATTTCGAACATTCTGCTGCCTGTTTTATCACCATCTAAGGAGCATGAATGAAGCAAAGGCACGCATACCTCACGAATCTTCTCAATAGCTAGTGTGAAAATGTACGCAATGACAATCCATTCTTGAACGGAAGGTAGCTCCTCCATTTTCACAAGAACCACAAAGGTATAAAGCATCAGAAATCCCAAGTAGGCTAACTACAAAAGCAAATGAAATGTTAAATAAATCTTATGTACAAAAATCCCATGATTTCCCCCCCACCCCCACCCCGAAAACAAAACAAAAACAAACTCACCGTGTTGAACCAGAATTTCACTATAGGGGCATGATAGAAGGCATAAAACTTTCGTGTGATGGGAAGCCTCTTGGGCTTTATCACGGTCTCCATGTCGTGCTTTTCTTCAGCGCTGTCCATGATCCTTACTTCTTTGAAAACTTCCTAATAGTAAAAACAGTGTATTTTAAAGTCACGTACGGAGAGGGCCATCGTTCGGCTTTGTTGTTAAAAGCACATGGGTTGGAGGCACACTTTAGACATGCTTAGAGAAGAGCCATCCAAGGAACTGAAGGAAGACTTTCCTGCTCTTTTTAAGATTTGGTGTTCAGCCCATAGCAGGACGTGCAGAGCAGAGGTTTGCACACAGACGGTCCCTACGTAAGACGAGACCTTCTGAAACGCTTGGCCCAGATCATTTACGCTGTGATTTGCATTATGATGTGAAATGGGAGTTTTATTTCTCTTCTTTTTATCAGTTTATCTGGACAGGGAAGAATGGTTAGCAAGAGACTTTTTGTCAAAGCCCCTTATATGACTGGGCAGTGGCTAATTTTGTTTTATTCCCTTTTGGTAATACTCGTGTGCCTACGAGAGGCCAACTATATGAGTCAGCCATGCTACAGCTTCCTCCTCCCCCTTATTCCTCTCTGTCATTTGGCTTCTGTCCTTTTGATATGAGCAGGTCATAGGACCAGTCCCCTCACGACCTGGTGCCACCGATTTTAGTGGAGGTGCTCTAAACATCCCACCAAAGCAATCCCACTTTGTTTTTATGGTTGCGTAAGAATACTTGGAAGGAACTACCATTGGTATTTCTTCAGTGATGTTCTGGAAGTTGTTTTCGCTGTCTTCCATTGTCATTTGATGCGCATCTTGAGACTGAGGAATATGCGACATCTCTGCCTTGGTCTTATATTCCAACATTAGTATGGTAGGAGGAACCAAAATACTCAGTATCACCTGTCAAGACATGACAATGACATTATTTAAAATATTTTCCAATCAATGATCCACTTTAAAAAACAACAACACCCAGCACACAGAAGCCTCTGCATGCTGAATTTCAGCAAAATCTGTTAGGTAGCAAGTAAAAGATGTAGAATAATTACCAGACTTCTGGTATACTTAGCTGCTACAAAAACACACTGACATCCCCTTCTACTCTTGAGGAGAAAGTATTAGAAGTTCCTAATTTTTTTCAGTAGCAGTCACTACCTTCAGCAGCCAATATTCAAAGTTAAGGAAGTGTTTCTTCCCACTTCCATTATAAAAAAAACATGATAAATTCTGACACGCTTCCATCTTAGTAAAATGGGCAAAGCAAATGAGAGTTTACAAATGAAAACACAATACAGACAGGAGCACATCACATTTTTAAAATTACACTGAATGACGTTTTAGACCAATCTTGCATTTTTACAGAATTTTATTGCAGATTGACATGGCAGGGTAAATTTCCAGCATGGAATTCAGAGAGAAATGTAGTTCTGCTATTGTTAATTCAGACTACATAGCTTGCTTGACTATACGCCCTTCTGAAAACTTACCCCCCTCCATTCACAACCTCCTGGTTTATCTGAATTCTGTTAGCCCTCTCACTTGCTCAGCTTACCTACTAAAATATCATTTTGAACTGTTTCTACATCACATTTTACTTTACTACCTGAAGAAAGCTTAATGACATGTCAAATTTTAAAAGGATGTTTCAGTTTGTTAATGTTTCACCACTAGTTTTTAGTAATATATTAGTTCTCACGATGAGCTAAATATCCATCTCTGGTTAAGAGCTACTTGCCTGGTTTCTGCCTTCTACATTTCTGTACCTTTTTTATGAAAATAAATAAAAAAAGATAATAAAGCAATGAAAGAAGAGAGTTATTGTTCATTCTGGTACCATTTCCAGCTTTGATTTCATTTCACTCAAGACATTGCATGACTGCAGTCCAACACGCTGCCTTTTCCATTTAAACATTATTACGGTAATAACGAAAGTGAACGAAATCCTCTGAAAAAAGCAGATTTGAAAACTTGGTTACCTTGTACCATGAATTCTTCCTCATGTTTAGCCTTCCCATCCACATATCAGACAACAACATCTGTGTGCAGGTATGAGCTACGAAAGGGCGAAGACGTGAAGACACTGCTAGTTTAAGGCAGGTGGCATTGCTCCAGTTCTTCAGTTCGTATGTTAGCAACTTCATAGCCATCGTTTCATCTTGTCGGAATGACTGCTCTAATAGCTCAACAGCCAGCTGCCCAAATTCACTGAGGGAAAAAGTGAAAAAGACATACACATCATAGCCATTATACTTCAAACACTGAACTGTTCCACCCAGACAGATAAGGCTATTTAAAATTTGGCTGCATAGGGAACATTTCATACGTTGCTCTATTACCAAGCATTTGACAGATACATAGAACAGGAAAATCCATTCAGAACATTAATTTCTTGAACCTGTGCTCCTTCTAATTAATTCTTGTTCCTCTTCCCACGTAGGAGGTTGTATTTCAATTACCTAAACATTTTCCTGGTCCTACTATCTATTATTGGATTTCAGGAAGCATTGCCTAACTGAATCAAAGGGAATTTATACATCCCCTGGGCACTTCCTTTAGGATGTGCTCTGGTGCAAGCCTGCACTGCTGCAGTTTTCTCTGTGTCTTTTTCTTGAACCCTCAACTTATATTTACATTCTCTACATCTCCTTGTATACTGTTTACTTAATATAGTTAGGAGTAAGATTTGGGATAGCAGACAAAGCAAAGCATGCTGTTTATAGACAGACGAAAAAGAAACATCTGAAACCACAGCGAAATTCATGGTTTTGTCTTGGACATCTTCTTACAACTTGTAAATTCCATCCAACATTTAACAAGATGAGGTGTTTACTTGGAATATTGTTTCAGTTCCTCTGAGGTATCATCAACAAGGTCACTTTGTTTGGATTCATAGGCCATCGACCGGTACAGCTTGCAGGCCACTAAGGCTTTGGCCATGGACTCTTCACCGTGCTGCCAGAAGAAAAGAGCCATCTTCTGCCTCTTCATTAGTACTGCCCACAGTAATAACTCATTAAGAGGATAAGGAAAGCGCCTTGTCTCTGGATCATCAATATCTACGATGTCATCTTTGGTTTTCTTCTTTTTTCCTTCTTCTGTAGTCGTATCGGCCTTCAAAAAAAAGAAAAGATAGTGCAACAATTTAAGAGATTTACAGGGAAAGCAATGTAACACAGTTTTTAAAAGAGCAGAACAGTACAGTTTAATGGATTCAATGTAAAACTAAAACACACAGACACACACAGAGACACACATATAAAGATGGTTTTAATATTGTCCCCTACTTAAATAACACATTTACACACACTCAACAGATGTTAAAATGTTAATTAATCATCTTCATTATTGTGAAGCCTTAACACTGCTGAAGCTAGTTACTTGTTTCACTCCCCTATTTATAATGACTACAGCCATGACCACCAATTATTGACAGATTTAGATCACCTATGATCGAACGTGCAAAACCTGGATTGTTCACCAGCGAAAGAGACAAAGTGATGAGGTTTTATTGATCAGAAGAATATATGTCTCTCAGCTAAGTAAAAACAACTGAGGTAAACGTGTCGGAGAAAGAAAGAAAATCAGCCTCAATATCTTATTCAACAGAGAGGCCATTTCAATGTAATAGAACCTGAAACTTCACCACCTAGAACGGTTCTCCCTGTGCGCCTGCTCTGCAAAGATGCCTGTTTAGTCAACAAGAGGAAAGCAAGTTCTGTAGCACAAAACCAGAGACAGGAGACATTCATTTAAGTCAACTGTGAGGAAGATTTGTTTTGCATTTATAGCAGTCCAATAAAAAGTATCACATCTGCGTGAGGGAGGACCACCATCCTGCAAATTTCTCAATTCATTTGCATGGGACCAAAGGAACAGCTATGGTCTGAATTTTCACCAGATGATCACAGGAAACTATCTTAGACTGACTCCAGCCCAGTCCGGTCTGCTTCAACCGGCAGGATTGACTTTAAAGGGTTTCAGGCTGGATTCTGGCCCAGCCGTACTTAAGAGCTCCCTGGTACCTCTGGATGGTCGCCCATCCAAGAACGAACCAGGCCTGACCCTCCTTAGCTTTCAAAATCAGACAAAATCAAGGGTGTCCAGGGTGGTAAATTGGCAAGTCCAGCTGGGAGGGTGGTCCCTGCCCTTTAGATGCTATCGTCTGCTCCTGACTACCGTGGGCCTCGTACCTTTGGTTTGTAAGGCTGTGCAGTTTTGATGAAGTGATTATGTCGCATTTTCTCTTTCTTATCCACCCTGTTACCAAAAGGCTCATGGCTTTTACGCAACTGAGGGGTGCTGCCTGAAGCATTTCGCCCAGAACGCTGAAAATTAAAAAAATGAACAAAAACAGAAGCATAATTCTTTCAGATGTAGTACACTAAAGTATGTGAAACCATAGAGACACACTTTTTCAATGGATTACGAAACAAAAACAGTTTTGTACATGGTTAATAAAAAAAGTGAGGAGGTGAGAGAATGATTTGTAAATGTCCCTGGTTCAACTCTCATGTACATTTATTTTATGCATTTATTATTTATTTCTTAAATTTGGATACTGCCCCACGAGTGCAGTGCATTACTCTGGGCAGTTTACAGTCAACTAAAAGAACAATACATACATGTAAAAATAAAACACAAAATGACAGTCAATCAACTCATCAAGAGGCAGAAATATCAGAGTAAAATGTGACAGAAGCGAACAAAGCACTGGGGAAAAAATGAACTCACTGGGTGTCCCAGGAAAGTTTCAGGTTTCTCTGAGAGCAGCCAGACACCATTGGCCTATTTTGAAATACAGTATTATTTTAAGGAGCGCTGTATAAATGGTACGTAAAGTGCTTTGGGGGAATTAGGGGACAAACCAGTCAAAGGTTAAGCACGTAACTAGGAATGGATCGTGCCCTCTGGTATTTCTGCACCCCAGCATTAATACCGATACTACACAGTGACGTAGTCAAAAGTACAAAGTGAGCCAAAATGTCTAGAGGTTCTAGGAGAAACATCTTTCCAACTCTAGTTATCTTACGCAAGCCGGAGAGCTTGCAACAATTTAAAATATTTCCTTCTAAAGAAACGACATACCCGATTGTTGCCACTGAGACTGTTGTATATCATTCTGAAGCGTTTTCGTGTGTAAGTACACCTGTAGGTTCCTCCCATTAAATATTCAACAACAAGCCCCACATCTATCAAAGTGAGTTTGTATCCCGGAGGAAGGTTTCCCTAGAGAAAAAGGAGTCATGAATTCAGTAATAGGTTGATTAGGTGTTGGACCAAATGCTTAAACTATGAAGCACATGAAGACAGAAAGCCGCCTTACACAGAGTCAGACTTTTTTCTATTCAGCCAAACGCTGTGTCCATTCTGACTAGTAGTAGGTGCTCTCCAGGGTTTTAGCTAGGATTGCTTCCTAGCCCTACCTGGGGATCCCTGATGGTCTCTCATCCAAATATTAGCCAGAGATGAGTCTGCTTAACACGTTGGCAAAATCAGGCATGACCACAGTTGCACAGTGGCATGGTTACTCTATGGCATGATATCAATTCTGCACAAAGATAACAAGCCTGCCTCAAACCACGTGCAGTGCATGCAAAGTGATTCTGGGTACAAGCCTTGACCATCCCAGTTACAAAACAGCACAACTTTTGAAAGCCGGTGGCTCTTTGAAGAGCCGTCATTGTTCTACCTGGGCTGTCTACGAAGAAAAAAAATCTGTATCCACCTTCTGTAGGGTTCATTTTTTTAAAACGGGTATGAAAAACCTGTTTCATGAGGAGGAAAAAGCTAAACCGCTGAAAGCTCGTGCCTCACCAGGCTCACTATAATGCGTTACCAGAATTCTATCAGTAACATGATTTCAGGAGAAATTAACAGTTAGTGCCTTCCTTACATGAGTCTAAAGGCATGGAATATTTTATCAACTGGAATTCATACCTGTTTGACATCTCGAACAAGGTGAAAGAGCGCTGGGTTGGTGGGGCCTTGTTTCTTGATGTGGAAGGGAAAAAAAGGCAGACTTTTAGATAAAAAACAGGCAGAAGACAAAAAAAAAAAGGAACAGAATGACAATGGCCAAAAAAGTCAAGACATTACCAGCCCTTCTCTGTCAGTTGTGTGTTTCTGCAAGAACCTTTTAAAACTATTTACATTAAATAGGTTCACAATCAGCACTTGAACGAAGGCTAAGAATCCTCTCATTGTTAAAAGATGGTCCAAATCCTTCTCCATCAGAACAGCAGCTAACATTTTGCATCTCAAGTATCACTGCTTAAGTTATTGATATAAAAATGAACAATATTCCTTGGAAAAGAACTGCCATCAACTTACGGTGTTGTAAAGTTCCTCAAGCCTTGGGATTGTGAGAAATTTGTGCATGCTTACTCCGTTTTCAATAAGAAGTTTGACAAAGGCAACTCTGTCCATTACCAGGGCGTCTAACATTGCCTGCTCTAAAGATCCAACCTGAAGGAACAAGGTTAAATCGCAACTTAAACGATACATAGAAACAGGAAATTTGTACAGTAAAATTAACATGTTCATACAGAATTCTTTCTACAAATCTGAAATAAGTTCTGCTGAAATATAAGAAAGGCTTAACATTAGAAAAAGCATTCAGTGTCTTATCAAGCCATCCCTCTGCCAATTACTATGTTGACATACCAGCCACTGCTGTCCATAAACAAAAACATGATTTTTGGCAATGTCAACTCGATCCCACGCAAGAGTAAGGACAAGCTGGTCAAAGGCAGAAGCATTTGTGCCTAAAAAACAAACAGAAAATACATTTGAACTTCTGTTTGGTCATCATAAAGACCCTGTCTTTACAAGTGGACCCATTTGACTTAGATGCTAACTAGAGAAGCAATCAGTGTTTTTAGGAAAGTTACTGCAAACACTCAGAACATACCCTGTTTCCCCAAAAATAAGACCTAACCTGAAAATAAGCCGTAGTATGATTTTTCAGGATGCTCGTAATACCCACAAAATAAGCCCCAGTTAAGTGAAACCCCACCCTGCACCACTGTGCAGCATTGTGCAGCAACCAGAAGACGACGACATGAAACATGCCCTAAAAAGAGTCTGCTTAACACGTTGGCAAAATCAGGCATGACCACAGTTGCACAGTGGCATGGTTACTCTATGGCATGATATCAATTCTGCACAAAGATAACAAGCCTGCCTCAAACCACGTGCAGTGCATGCAAAGTGATTCTGGGTACAAGCCTTGACCATCCCAGTTACAAAACAGCACAACTTTTGAAAGCCGGTGGCTCTTTGAAGAGCCGTCATTGTTCTACCTGGGCTGTCTACGAAGAAAAAAAATCTGTATCCACCTTCTGTAGGGTTCATTTTTTTAAAACGGGTATGAAAAACCTGTTTCATGAGGAGGAAAAAGCTAAACCGCTGAAAGCTCGTGCCTCACCAGGCTCACTATAATGCGTTACCAGAATTCTATCAGTAACATGATTTCAGGAGAAATTAACAGTTAGTGCCTTCCTTACATGAGTCTAAAGGCATGGAATATTTTATCAACTGGAATTCATACCTGTTTGACATCTCGAACAAGGTGAAAGAGCGCTGGGTTGGTGGGGCCTTGTTTCTTGATGTGGAAGGGGAAAAAAGGCAGACTTTTAGATAAAAAACAGGCAGAAGACAAAAAAAAAAAGGAACAGAATGACAATGGCCAAAAAAGTCAAGACATTACCAGCCCTTCTCTGTCAGTTGTGTGTTTCTGCAAGAACCTTTTAAAACTATTTACATTAAATAGGTTCACAATCAGCACTTGAACGAAGGCTAAGAATCCTCTCATTGTTAAAAGATGGTCCAAATCCTTCTCCATCAGAACACCAAAAAAGTCAAGACATTACCAGCCCTTCTCTGTCAGTTGTGTGTTTCTGCAAGAACCTTTTAAAACTATTTACATTAAATAGGTTCACAATCAGCACTTGAACGAAGGCTAAGAATCCTCTCATTGTTAAAAGATGGTCCAAATCCTTCTCCATCAGAACAGCAGCTAACATTTTGCATCTCAAGTATCACTGCTTAAGTTATTGATATAAAAATGAACAATATTCCTTGGAAAAGAACTGCCATCAACTTACGGTGTTGTAAAGTTCCTCAAGCCTTGGGATTGTGAGAAATTTGTGCATGCTTACTCCGTTTTCAATAAGAAGTTTGACAAAGGCAACTCTGTCCATTACCAGGGCGTCTAACATTGCCTGCTCTAAAGATCCAACCTGAAGGAACAAGGTTAAATCAGAACTTAAACGATACATAGAAACAGGAAATTTGTACAGTAAAATTAACATGTTCATACAGAATTCTTTCTACAAATCTGAAATAAGTTCTGCTGAAATATAAGAAAGGCTTAACATTAGAAAAAGCATTCAGTGTCTTATCAAGCCATCCCTCTGCCAATTACTATGTTGACATACCAGCCACTGCTGTCCATAAACAAAAACATGATTTTTGGCAATGTCAACTCGATCCCACGCAAGAGTAAGGACAAGCTGGTCAAAGGCAGAAGCATTTGTGCCTAAAAAACAAACAGAAAATACATTTGAACTTCTGTTTGGTCATCATAAAGACCCTGTCTTTACAAGTGGACCCATTTGACTTAGATGCTAACTAGAGAAGCAATCAGTGTTTTTAGGAAAGTTACTGCAAACACTCAGAACATACCCTGTTTCCCCAAAAATAAGACCTAACCTGAAAATAAGCCGTAGTATGATTTTTCAGGATGCTCGTAATACCCACAAAATAAGCCCCAGTTAAGTGAAACCCCACCCTGCACCACTGTGCAGCATTGTGCAGCAACCAGAAGACGACGACATGAAACATGCCCTAAAAATAAGCCCTAATGCATTTTTGGGAGCAAAAATTAATATAAGACCCTGTCTTATTTTCGGGGAAACACAATACATATTTCACAAGATAACAATTACAGTACCAATCATTGCACAACAGCTTTAAATCTGACATTAAAACCTAACTCCATGAAATAGGTTTATTCTTCTTTTTGGAGGGCAACAGATTATTTTTATTAAAACCGAGCTGAAAGAGATGCAGGAAGGAAAACAGAAAAATGCCTTGTGCGAACCGAGTCAGACCCTTGGTTCATCTAGGCCACTACTGACAACTCAGGACTCAGAAAATTTGAGAATGAGACAGCAGAAAAAAGACGCCCTCCCGCCCAATGGGGAAGCAAGGGCATGTCTTGTTTTATCCTGTGGTGGTGAGAAAAATCACCGCACCAAGGGTTCAATACAACCCACATTATGATATGCTTTGAAAGACAAAAACTCACCCTTTAGTAGTGCTGTAAGGATTGCAACATCGATATCTTGATGCTCATCAGATCCAATATGGAACACAGTGATCTGTTTAGGAAAATATAATTTCTTATAACAATACAAACTGGTCACTTACCTCGGCATAAAAACCAAACTCAAGAAAATACAGTGAGAGGCTGCACGGTGATCCAAGTAAACACAACTGAGAACCGTGAGATGAAACAGCAGTATTAATATATTGCTGTTTCATATTTCAATTAATTGAAAGAGCAGCATTTACAACCAAGCAAATTAACTTTGAGGAATACAAAGAAAGGGAAATGTGTCTACACTTGTGCTGAAAATCGGGGATCAAAACTTGGGTAACACAGAAAATGCAGGCTCTTAGGTCCTAATTTCTCAAAGCACAGGTCAAAGGTATGTTGTGCAATAACCATGCTGAACATAGGGAGACTGAGTTCCAATTATTATCGGGTCAGGAAGTTACTTGCAAACTCCATGTGTGCACCCTTCAGCTCCAGGAAGGAATAAAGGAGGACTATAAATGGTATAAATGGACCAAGCAAGACATATATATGGTAGACAGAGTATGTAAACCAAAGAGCTCCTCTGAGGTTTATTCCTGTTGGGTGACTAAGTATCCCCTAAATCAAGTAACAGATGTAAGAAATACGGCAGTATAAATCAGGCTTGAAATAATGAAAGTAAAATGTAAGGCTTGCACTGGGCTATTTTAGCAATTTGAAACATGCACAATATTCAAGACCGCTTGTTTGTAGAAACAGGGCTTCTACTGTTACTGTACACCATGCAGATATTTACTTACAAGCTCTCTCTTTTTCATGCACTCCAGCAATGTTTGGAAGAAATGAACTGCTTCACTCTGACCAAAATTAAATGTTTTTTTGATGGTTGAAATGATTTCAGGTTCAGCTCCCTCAGGAATATTTCTGAAGTTGAAAAGAAGAGGCAAAAAAAAAGGTATTCGGATAAATATAGCACAGCTGTTACCACTTCTTTGGTGTAAAGCTGCCCCAAACAAAGTTCTGACCTTCAGAGGGCAGGATCCTTATCTAAAACGTGTCCCAGGGCTATGAGCATAAAAGATAGAAGCCTCTAAAACTCTTGGCTTGCACTTTTTTTGGACTGTGATTGGTATTGAAACCTCTCTTTCATCGGAGGATGTTTAAACGGAGGTGACCCAGCCAGTGGTTAGAGGTGCTGTGTCAGCACATTTCCTTCACATGCTAGGGGGTGCCAGAGCCCAGGACCCATGAGAATGTTCCAACGCCACACGTCTATGGTTTTGCAAGATGTCGTTCTATCCCTTCTCCTCTGGCCACTTTAGCAGGGCATTCAGATGAGAGGACATTCAGAAGACAAGTTGTGCTTATGTTGCTGGGGAGCTGTCTTTTTTCTGACAAGGTTATTAGAATTTAATTGCACTATACTGTACTTTATACGAAACATTCATCAGACGAAGAGAGAGAGCTCATGGGTTTGGCAGATGGCTGCCACTTTCATAGGATCGTGGAGTTTGAAATCCCCTTGGAGGTAAACTAGTTCACCTCTTTCTGAAAACAGGCTCAGCAACATGGCATGAAGCCACAGCCTTCCTAACAGGCGGCTATCATGCCTGCTGAAACATCTTCAGTCAAGAAAAAGCGGCCACCTCCTGAGGCAATCTGTTCCTTTTCTGAAAGGTTCTCCCCCTTAGAAAACTTCTCTGAAGGTTTATCCACAATCTGCGTCCCTTGTTTTCCACTTAAGTGTTTCTGAGCCCTGCCATCTAGTCCATCATCCGCATGGATGCCCCTCAGATATTTGAAGACACCTATTGTGTTCCCCTTTAATCTACTCTGCTCCAGGCTAAATGCACCAAGGGTCTCCAATTGTTCCCCAGGGGACTGATACCAGATTCCTCATATCTGATTTGCCTTTTGGGGGGGGGGTCTCAGACTTGTTAATGACCTACGGGCCATGTAGCTTGACTGACATGAAATAGAGTAGAACCACTCCTTCCTGTAAGCATGGCAACTTTGCTTCCATTAATGCAGTTCAGAGTAAATTGGCTTTCTTGGCTGCCACACTACCCGGTTGGCAGTTCTGACCCACTAAGCTGCATAGGTCTGTTTCTCACAGACAGGTGCCAAGCCAGTCTTCTCAATGTTATCCTTGCGCTCCTGATTTCTTTTTTTTCTTTTTTCTTTTGGTTCCTAAACACACATTTTCACTTTTATCTCTAACAAATCTTATAATGTCAGCTGCAGTCCAGGCTTATGAGCCATCCTGTGCCTCCCAATGGCATTTTGACAGTCTTCAGATTACCCCAGAGCCCTCAGTATGCCTTACCCAAAGTGATTTACAGAAACATTCGACAGCCCAGTAACCAAGACAAAGCCAGGAGGGTAACCGAGCCTTTAATCAGCACTTGCTGAATATAGCTGCTCAAACAGCGGTTTATTCATGAAATTGTATTATCGTCTAAACCCATACTTTACTGTCTTGTCAGCGGGGATATCCTGGGATATTCAGTAAATATTTTTGTGAAATCGCAATACCTCATTTCCACAGCATTCCTGAGATTGCTCAAACTAGGTCGGTCTAACATAACTTGCTCGTAATATACCTAGGCTGACCTTTAGCAATCAACGCGTTATGTCTTAGAAGCTTACCCTCCCTCTTCAGTTTGCTTATAAACATAAGCCAAGATGTCTGCCGCTCTGCCAGTTCCCTCACAGACAACGACTGGCACAGGAGGACTTTCCTGCAGGTATTCCAAAACAGTGAGGATAACGTTGGGACCACCTTCAAATATGAGTGCCACAACAGGGACACCCTGGCCAATTCCTACAAAAAAATGAGTTTTTTTGGAAGGAAAAAAAAGTTACACATTTATTTTTCTTCATTTAATTCAATATAAAAACATTAAAAAGCCAACTACTCTACCTCTGAAAAGGTATTTAAAGAACCAGAAAATAGCATCAGGACTCCATGCACTCAGCAAAGAATTTAAATTTTTTCAAGAGTTCTGTAACCTAGTGGTTGTTGATTAAAAAAAAATAGGCAAGACTATAATGCAGCCTGCCCGCCCCCCGTAAGGCATAGCCCTAACTAGCTACGGGTCTGGTTAGTTGACTCGTGGCCAGCTAAAGCTGTGCCTCATCCAAGTCCCTCCTAGCCCAGGGACACAAGGATACAATCCTCCTATGGGCCTCACTTTGTGCCAGGATAGTTGCCATGTCCCTGGACTTAGTGGAAAGCAATCGATCTAACATCGCTGCACTCCTCCCTCCCCCTCCCACAGTTTCTACCCCTTTCCCCACTCTTCTGCCAACATTTTAATTTTGCTGACAGATCACTCTGTCAGTAAGTCTTAAACATGAGCGGCAAGAAGAGAGGTCTGCTGGCAGAACAGCAATTTTTTTTAAAAAAAGCTTGTGCCTGTACAGCTGATGCATCTTTGAGTTCAGACTGTACTGCCACATGGCTAACTCACTGGAAATTTCAAACGATCAATCTGATTTAAATCCGATTGCTCCAATCTACCTTGTAGGGACCTTGGCAAACCACAGGGAAACCAGGAAGGGGAAAGAAAAAAAACAAGAAGCACAAACAGTGATAGCTAAAAAGAGTCCTTAGAATCTGCAGTGCCAGCAAAGAAGTCAGTTTGGAATGTCTTTCAGGGAAATCAAGACATACTGGTTTGGAGTTAAAAAATATACCTTTATTTCAGCTCAAGGTCACTATGCTTAACTCAAACTATACATAAATATCTTCACTGAACATTTTACTCTTCCCTGTTACAACAGCCAGAAGGCTGATGTTCATAACACACTCAACACACTCCTATTCCACAAGAAAGTTAAAATGCTGAGCAGTATGTATCTTAAATACAGTTAATCACAGTCAAGGTCTTAAGTGTGGCCTGCACATGTTCAAGACCTAATTAAATTGCAGCCACCTAAGTCAGCATAAGTACACGTTGGGACACAGAAGAACTGTAAACATGTCATAACTTTACACAACAAAAGTTAACCCATAGCTCTAACAAAAACAGAACATGTGAGCACTATAATAAATCCTTTTAGTTGCCATTGGCTAAGCAAAACAGATGCACTGGGTTTGGTTTTGTTTTTAAGAAAAACATCCTGAAGATGTAGAAATACACATGGTTGCCTAGGAACAAACTTGAACAAATGACATTTTCAAACCCATCTTCTATAACTGAAGTATCAGATGAGAACAAAAAGGTCAGGGAAAGGCAAGGCAAAGCACCGGACGTCGGCAATTATTTCTCTCCTTCCAGAGGGGGACTCTAGATATGAAACAACACTTGAAGAAGTACAAGTCGGAGTTCTATCTCAAAACATTGGGGGTGGGGAGAGACAAGGGTTCCCCCCACTTGACTAAGAAACAAGAAGACTACTCTGGCCAACCAGCTGTTGTTTGACTGTAACTCTTGTTGTTTAGCCTACATTCCTAATAAGAACAATAATACATTATTATTTGGTTAGAATCAAGTAGTTATAGCTCCTCTCCTGGACCACATCACTTTCAACGGCAAGGAAGATGGCCTCTGTGAATGACCCATAATTCTGCAAAACCCTCAAAAAATAAAATCAGCACATCTCTCCGTTTTCTAGAAGAGGAGGTTTCCTGCCCGTTTCCCTCCTGAGTTACTCAAACGAAGGAAAGTTTTGCCATGTATTTACCATGCATTTTTAATCTCCACGTTTTTCTAACTTTATAGAAAATTAAAAGCCTGAAAACTACACAATTTGCTCATCGCAGCCCAAACGTACTTGCGTGGATCCTTTGCAGGTTGATTGTTTTTTCCAGTTCTCGTCGCAACTTTACTTCTGCTCCATATTTGCCCACTGTTCCGTCATCTACCAGTATGAAATGGGAATGGAGATTATTCAGGACATTCAGTTTGCTTAAAGGGTTTAGTAGGGTTTGATATGGAGCAATCACCTAAACAAAGAATGAAACAAAAATATATTGAAAATATTCTTATTTTTAAACTCACCAAGCTTGCCTTTGCCCAATGATCTGTTTGTCTACCCACTCTGAATCTGATTTAGTCCTACAGAAGATCTATCGCATTATAAGCAGGAAGCTAAACACAGATGATCAAAATGCCACCATTTAACAAAAACAAGAAAAATACAAAGATTTCAACAAAAATTCAGTTTTTATTTTATTTTAAAATATTACTTTGGCTACTGTAAAGTGCTACTACTCAATTTCAGATGGGCAACTGGAATAAAAAATGGATTTCAGTATTTGTCTCTTTGCTTTCTGTGTATGACATTAGGAATAACCCCTTAGCAGCATTTAGCCATTCAACAGTAGGCTTCAGTGTTGAAAAGGAACTATTTCATGCCACTTGAAGCTCTGACATTTATTCTCTGAAAAAGGCTCTCCAAGTAGATTTAATTCCCCCCCCCTTATTTTTCACTTAAGCATTCTCAAATTATGTACAGCTTTTTCTAACATCAAAAACATTCAGTAGCTCTCTGCCTTTGCTTTCCTTCAGCTAAGGAACCCATGGATGAACCAGTTCCTTAAAAATCGCTGAAATTTATATTTTCAACAAATGTACAGTGCCTACTGTTATTTCTTTGGTTTTCGTGCCCCTCAACCTAACTTTCAACCAGTACTGCATGTGGTCCAGCCTCATCTCAATGAAACACACATTTCACCCCACGGCTTCCGTATTAGCCAACTTCCTCCTCCTTTTTTGTTTTGTTTGCTGCCATGACAAAGTGTTCTGAAGCACTCAAAAGTTTGCACCTTCCTCTGTGTTGAGCTGACCTAACAAAAATGTTACATCAACATGAACTTTAAAATGTTTATTAAAAGTGTGCAGCTCTGAAAAAGGGAAAATAACCTTTCGACAGAGTTCTTCTGCTCACTGGCTTTGGTCTGACGAGTTCAGGCCAAACCCAAATGCAAGGATGAACCTTTACCTAGTCCGTTAAAAGCCCAGTACAGTAAGCAGCCAGACTTACATCTCTCCCGATGAGGTCATTTCTGTTTTCAATCACTCCCCAAGGAGCTATCCCAATAGTGCAAATCTTTCGAGATGATCGAGAGGCATGTTCTTTGAGAGCATCCCCAACATGTTTGGCAACTCCTGTACAGAAACAAAGAATATCACTCACTGCATTACTACAATGATGCCCTACTTTTAGGAGGGACTTAGGGTTCAATTTCAAACATCACAGCCAAGACTGAAAGCCGAGTAGATTAAGAACATGTTCATTTTCAACTAACCACCAGCAAGGAGACAATTCCATAACCAGGATATTGCCAAAGAAAAGGCCCCTTTTCCCATTCCAATTCGTGGTACCTCTTTTGATGGTTTGATACATAATAGGGCTGGAACTAGTGAGCTGGCTTGTATAATGGCTACAGTTTGGCCATTACATCTGGGTTAACCTGTCTGGGCTAACAAGTCACTTGCACTGCCTTGAAATGTTAAACACAGAATAGCATATATTTAAACTACCCCCAAAATATTGCGATCCAGCCTTTCAATGAGAGTTTTCTAGAAAATTAGACTCTTCTGAGTTGCTTTTCCAGATGGAACTTCTTTGCTGATCAGAAGTTTTTTTCCAATGTTTTGCTAGATATTTTTTCCCCTGTAATTTAACTCCACTGCTTCCTCTCCTACCCTTACTACATATATACAGCAAGCAATCATTTTAGCTTTTTAAATCTTCCTTTAAGATGCTTGGAAAATCTGCCAATCTTCATTTCCTTGATTAATCCATACATCATAACTTCGGCTTCTTTGAAACAAATGCTTCTCAACTTTGGCTGGAAATTCATGTTGACGTATAACACAAAGCCATGGTGATATTAAATAACGTACTACCAAAATTTCATGCCATTATTTTATACTATGCTTCCCCACATACAGAAAATAAAATAAAAACAAGATCTGTCCATTTTGAAAAAGTAAAACTTGCTATATGGCAGCACTAGGATACATTTGAGATCCATGGGCATGATCCAGCCACAGATACACACCCTGCCACTACACAGGGATGGCTAGGAAACTCTTTAGAGAGTTGAAGCAGGTTCCCAACACAATAAATCTGTTTTCTTTTTTTATATTCCCAAACCAATGATGAGATCCAAAAGCTCAAAACTCTTGCTTAAACCGTTTATGAGGTCAAGCTTCCTGAGTGCTCTGATGAACCAAACGACCGAATGAAGGAAACACTTCACGCCTTTGACACCAAGTCAGTTAGGAAATATGCAAGACTCTAGTTTTGTTAACAGAAGATAAAGGCAAATTCAAATATCTTATCACCTGTATCCACTCCTCCAGTTATAATCCAGGCTCCTGTTGTCACTGCAGCTTTAATAAGCCCTTTACCAAGCAGCTGTTTGATGCGTGGATGAAGTTCAAATTTCTGCATTCCTCCATGAACAGAAACAACAAGCTTTGGCAGTTCCATCTGCCATTCCTTAAGCATAAGCTGTAGAATGGCTTCAGGTCTGGTGTCATAGGACAGTCGCACATACTAACAAGAAGTTGAGAAGAATTAATATTCTCAGCAATGGGAAACACTGATAAGCAAGTGTCAATATGCATTCCACATCTTCATTCAGAATTCACTATCATTTCCAACAAGAATTTGGGGATTGCCATGGGAGTTTAGGCTCGATGAAGGACCTTTCAATTGTAGATACTGCAGGCACTGAAAATCCAGATAATACTTAAGACAAAACCATCATTTGATAATGTTGCCGGAAAAGCAATAAATATATATATGCGCCTTGTTCTAGACTAGTCTCATATAACCATGTAAGAAGCAGGGGTAACAATATGGAATGAGAAACATACTTTAGATGAAAACCAGTTTCTTTCGATTACACTGCCTCATGACTGCCAACAAAGATTTGACATGCTGTTAAATAAAGTGAATTTAGTCTTCCAAGCTACTTAGGCACTACAGATAGTAAATATAGTTCTTAGGTATAAACATGAATTGTAATCTACATCCCAAACTGGTGATTACCTGGACAGAAAAGTTTCAGGTAATAAAATGTGTGCCTTCACTCTACAGCAGCCAAAAACATTTTTTTTAAAGAAAGGTCATTCATGGGCAAACTTGATTTCATCTCTTTGCCTCCTATTACCTCAATATTCAAAGACTACTATTTTCATCTTCAACTGGGCCATTTCCCTTTAATATCATCCCAAAAGCTCTCATACGTTCTGCTCTTCAGCAGCAAAGAGGACATCTGGTACATACCTTAGCCCGATAGGAATGGGAGCCTCCTTGAAAGTTAATGATGCCGTAAGCATCTGTGGAACTCTGCTCAGTATGTTTTTCTACTGACCATTCTTCTATCTCCTGGTTAAAATTTTCACCCAGTTTCACATCTGAATATTTCATAGCGAGACTTGCCGTAAAGCAAGCATGTTGCCGGACTAAGCGTCCACAGCAGCACCTGTAGGAAATTACCACAGTTCATGGAGGTGGGAAGACATAGAGGTCACTCTCTATATACATCATTTTATAGTAAAAGTGCTTGCCACTCTTTGCCAAAGCCTTTGATTCTGTTGCTGTGTGGTAAACTGCACTCCCACGCCCATACAGAGGTTTTCAGATGGCAATACTATAATTTCTTCAAAGGCCACATGCAGAAGAGCTATACACATAATCCATGGGACTCATTTGGAGAGAGATAATGCCTGATATCGAGAACGCTAAGATGGGGCTAGACTGTCAAGTCATTAAAGGTCTAAATACTGCAGTTCCTCTAGCTATTCACTGAATATAAGCACCCATGTCTTCATTATATGTCCTCCAACATTTTCATTTGCCTTTGACTGCCACTCAGTTTGAAATATATTATACAGCTACCCATCTTCTGACCTCTCATTGGCCAGAATCTTCTTAGGAAAAAAATGTGTGCACAAGGTAATCATCCCAGTAAAGTATCTTATCATGGGATGGAAACTCCACCAAAAAGAGAAACCCATTTGTGCAATTAATTTTCTTCTCTTTGATCAACTAATTTGATATGTTTAAAGAGTTAAAGTGGCTTCATTTCATAGAATGCTTACCTGACAAGTTGCTGACAAATCTGACATCCTGGAAGGCATCTATGATTAAAAAAAAAGAGAAAGTAACAGGGCATGTTGTCCCTCTTGCTATCAAAATCAGGAATATATGTCTTAATAAGACTGAAAACAGTCTACAGCTATGTGTCTCCACTTTTTATTTGCAGTTTTCCAGGTGTGTCAACCTGATCATACCAAAACTGATGCACATTTTCAATGAATGCACATTTTCCCAAAAGTAACAAACTTGGAAGAGCAAAATGGTTGCTTCTTCTAAGATATGTTTCTACAAGTCTTTCTTTCAAACTATGTACTGAATCCAATTTTAGCAATCAAGGATAATTCACCACTCCTCTAAGTTCTGCAAAACAACTCTAGGACCAGGCTTTTAGGCATTTCCCCTATTTCTCCACTCCTACAGCATCTCTGCTACCCCACATTCTAGATCTCCCCGCTTGTTCTAGCTGCCTCCACATAATCCTCCCATAACTGCAGACATCCATCCCACATCCCAGTTCGCCAATCCACAGAAAAAACAATGCAACAGGAGCCAAGGAATTCAGGAAATCCTCCCACTCTGCGCCAACATCCTTGTGCCGTGACACTGTGTTCTCTATATTCAGAAGGAAACCTGCATCACTTTGAATTTACCTGTGAGGGTCCTTTGAACTTGGTATAATGTACACACATTCCCGTTTGGTGAAAGTATTTTCTATCCAAGATTTTTGGGACTGTAAAATAAGATATTTTCAGAGTCATATGAAAGCACCGTCTGGGTATTACAGAAGTACAGTATTGCAAAGATCTAGTTCTCATGGGATCAAACATACATATTTAATAGTTAATAGCTAACATATAATTAAACATTAATTACTGAACATATATCTACCACATTATCTCATATTTTTCCTCTTATAGTTGGTTACTCTGGGGATAAGATCTACCAAATCTAAAGATAAAATCTACCAAATCATTCTATAATTCTTAAAAACATCACCATAATCAGTAGTTTAGGTACTAATATCTTCATTATGAACCAAGACATTACACGTTTTATAATGTTAAGAGACTGACTTCTATCCTAGAATGTTAATTGCTATGTACATTTTGAAATCTGGTTTAATAGGAAGAATAATGTACGATCAATCCTGATGTTAAAGCAATACTATGTAGCACAATTTACTGAGTTTTCTGAACTTTTTCTAACGTCACCTTTTAACAATAACATGTTTAAGTCAAGCAGGAGCAATGGAGAAGCCAGAACTAGTCTACTGCTTGTGAATGAAAAGCCAGGGTTCAGAAATATACCATCTGAGCAATTTATCCAAATGTACCCACAAAGAGTTGAGAGAATATTAACAATAACAGAAACAGTTTAAGTAAAACCTTGACTTGAATTTTTTAAGAAATTTCTTTTTTTTCTATCACTCCAAAGTTTGACATGCCACACTGAAAGTTATTGGGCTAAATCCAATTGTTAATCCAAACTAGAAAGGACTCACTGAAGCAATAAAAGCTCTACAAAACTCTTTTAAAACTAGAGACAATGTACATTAGCTTTCAGATGCTTTAATGCACCTTACTTTTTATACTGCATTAAGCAGTAAGATTTAAAGCCGTAAAACTGACAAGATCATATATATATAAACAGTATATACCTGTTCAGGATAAAAAGTCCATCTGACATTTTCACTGCAGAAATCCATGATGAACAACTACTAGCTGTCTCCTTTGAAGACCAATCTTATACCACAGAGTTTACTTTAATTTAAGGTTTCGAGATAACAGGTTATAACAACACACTGCTGCAAAAGTGCAGGATGAGATCAGAACTCAAAATAATGTACCATTATATTATAGGGACTACCTTAGTCTCCCATTTGACCAGAACAAATATTTTGAGGGGACTTCCACAGCGCTAGCTGTTACAGCAAAGCCAACAAAGTGAATTGTGGCATCTTAAAAGACTAACAACTTTTACTGGGCATAAAGACTGATGGACTTTAGCCCACTTATTTTGAGAAGGTTTCCCTTTCAGCAAGTGTTTCAAGTGCTAGAAATCTAAAGTCTCCCATAATTGCTCAGAAACAATGACAATTAATATGCATATTGTCATATGTAATTAAATCACATTAAACGTTTACTGTTCATGAAGCAGGAGACCATCTTTGGTTGTTAATGAAGCAGAATGCTGGCTGCCAAGAATGTTTTGGGTAGAAAATCAGCCACAGATCTCTAACCACCTCAAATCCACTCTGCAGGACAGGACAGATGAACCATGCCATGTGAACAAGTATCTAACCCTGAAGCTGTGGAAACTCCTGCATGTCTGAACCTTTTCACTTGAGTAACGTATGTTTGTGTCACAAGATTTGTTTATATATATATATTTTTTTCTCCAGTAAGCTCAAGGTCCTGTACACAACTCTCTTTCTCTCTGCTTTATCCTTACAACAACCCTTACAGGAGATCATCCTGAGAGAGACAGAGAGGGAAGCAACTAACTGGAGGTCACTCAGTAAGTTTCATGGCTTTATGAATCCTGACCCTGCGTTCAGAACCCCTGAGGTCCTGTGCAGTAATCTATCCACCACAACACACTGGCTTTCAGTGGGGAAGGAAGGCTCCACCACCAGAATGCTGATCCAAGTCTCCTATGGCAGTTTATTCAGGTGACTGGCTGTACAAAGCATTTCACCTCACTATCACGTAAATTGATTCTGAATGTTGATTCAGAGTTGCAGATAAAACAGCCTCTGTAAAACATGTTTAGTTTTTAATGGAACTTAAGAAAAAAATAACACCCAACTGCACTAGTAAGTAAAACTGAAGCAAATGCTTCGAAATGGCAAGCATTCAAACATATGCACCGTTTTCATTTATTTTCTTTCTTTACAACTTAATATGACATCAACATGCCTCAACTCTACTTGCAGTGCTTCAAAGCAAATTACAAAAGCTATCTTGAATAGCAATCTACCCAGCTGAGACATTTACTAAACATTTATTTATGAACCCATGTAGTCCCACTATTTACAAGTTGTAAAACTGAGAGAAAACTCGGTTATTAACCAAACCCATGGTGATCATGGGACTAAGCTGTGACCCATGCCTAGCTGACTGTAACACCTTCTTGCACAGCAGGTTCCAAAAGCAATAGCTGGAAGGCAAAAATTCCAAACTTAAGCCTCTTTATCTTCCTATCATCACTTAGACCCAATGAATCTCATTTTCGAAACTGTGCACCTGGGGTGTATATTATAGTGCAGTGAGTTCACATATATGTTGTAGCTTGCTAAGAATCACACTTTCCCTCCCCTCCAAATACAAATATATGATGGTGACTCCATGTTAGTTTCATAAGAATATGTACCAGATGATTCTTCAATGAATTTCTTCTCAACTAATCTGAATAATGCCTGGAGTTTCATATCTAAGCTCTCCCTAGAGCACCTCCCGAGATAACCATCTCAGAGGATGTGCTTCAGGACAGCACTGTACATTCTGCTCCCGTTATGTATCTTTCTCCTCTGAAGTAAATGCCAGTGCAGTGTTCTCATCATTGAGGTCGTTTTTGAAAAGAGGGGGGGAAACTCCATTATGGCAACAAGCACAATAGGCATGGCTATGATGAAGGGATGAATCATGTTAAGGACTGTGTGTTTGCATGAATAGCTCCCCTTAGATATGATTTGAAATTAGCCACAATTCTGCTGGAAACTTGGAAAAATCATATCCCAATATATTGATACAATACTTTTCCAAATCAGTGCAAAGTGGAAGCAAACACACAAGTGTTCCCAAAGGTTTTTCTCAATACAATAGTTAATGAAAATTATTAGATTATAAACATCAGCTACACACATTTTGAATCAAAGACTTTTTCATCAGCACTCCGTATGTGACTACAAGAAGTTTTTAGACCTCACATAGCCCAGTAGACTGGATTATCTAGTTGGAGTCAGGATTATGAATCCTTACTGTGCCTTCCAGGAAAGAAGCCCCCCAAAATCACCCAGTTTGTGGGGCCGAGGGAGGCTATGTGCCCTACCACTGGTGCAGCAATGTGCAAGCTGCACAGTCCCAAAATGCAGGCTCCATCAGGTGTACTTCAGATCATTCATGTTTTAAAAACTATTTTACTTTATTTTTGAATACATAAAAGAATAGAAGGACAAAGGCAGTGTTATATATTTTCTTAAGAGTTGTTTAAACATCTAGACTCCAGCAAACCCCAACAAACGTCTTGCTCCCTTGCTCTCACTGCAATTTTAACATTACCTACTTCTTTAATTACTAAGTCTTAGGCCCATTCACGCAGCAAACTATATTTAACACTCTTTCTCAAACAGTAAGATCCAAGAAGTTGCCAAGTACCAACAAAAATAATGCAATGGAATGGACTGGGGGGGTGGAGAATATTTCTATGAGTTTTGAATTAAAGAGTTTAGTAAAAAAAAAACTGATATGAAATATGTGAAAGCAAGCTTGTTTTCAAGTCCCACCCCTGCAATTATTCCCCACAAAAGCCATGCTCCATCCTTCCCAGGCATACCAGATTTATTTGCCTTGCTCAAGAACTACTACAGCAGGGGGGAAAAACTCTCTGAAAGGACACAAGGAATTTAAAAGGCAAATGATCCAAACAGTCCAAAATAGATCCAGAACAAAAAGCTTCTGAATTCTAGCATCTGATATTCATGGTGCATTTTCATTTACAGATAGGTAACTGATCTGGATGGTTCTTCCTGTCCCCTCACATCTGTGTGTGTCAAAACTGGAAGCAAGCTTTTGAACACTGTAGGTTGGCGCTATGTTGTTGGGTAAATGAGACATAACACCCCAATTATGGGATTCCCTCTCAGGGAAAGTTACTGTCTCCATCTCTGAAGTTTCCAACAGATATAATTTTGTCAGGTTTCAAAACTGGTTCGAAACTGATACTAGCTCAAAATGTTTCTCAACAATTACAATACCAAAAGATATCTGATGAAGTAATTAGGATGATGGACAAAAAAAGAATACATTCCTACAGGCAGCAGTTTCAGTGTTAGGAAACAATTCTCCCTTTGGAGACCTGTAAAATCCAAGTTCTTTGACGGCCAATACTTGAACTCCCTATTTGCCCTACAGAATGGGTTCTTCCCAGGTTGATTGATATACATATTGCTAGCCTGTTAAAATGCTGCTATCAGCCTTTAAAAATATAATTACCCATATATTCAAGGCACAAGAAACAAAAAATACCAATTTATGACATCTCAGAAGTGTACTGAGCCTCGTGGCGCAGTGGTTAAACCGCTGTACTGCAGCCAAAGCTGTGCTCATGACCTGGGGTTCAATCCCAGGGAGCTGGCTCAAGGTTGACTCAGCCTTCTATCCTTCCGAGGTTGGTAAAATGAGTTCCCAGCTTGCTGGGGGGGGGGGGCAATGTGCAGCCTGCATAATTAACTTGTAAACCGCCCAGAGAGGGCTTGAAGCACTATGGGGCGGTATATCAGCACGCTTTGCTTTGCTTTTTACTATGCACCAATCTCTGTAATTCAAAATCTCAACACAGAAGAGTATAAATCAAGCCACACCTTGCAAGGGAGAGAGGGAGAAAAGCACCAATCTCTGTAATTCAAAATCTCGACACAGAAGAGTATAAATCAAGACACACCTTGCAAGGGAGAGAGGGAGAAAAAGCAATGTTATTTTCCTCAGAATTCCCTTAATTCATATTGACTTA